CTCCTAAGAAACATTGTGTTTTCAAATGTGGTACAAGTAAAAAGGACAATCAGTTCTTAAGGCCATCTTGAGTATTTAGACTTCCAACACCCTTAACCAGGTAACCGTAACTCCCAATGGACAAAAGGTGTTGTCGAAATCAACAATAGGAAGTGAACCAAGTTTCTGATGTGATTTTTGGCAACAGGCAAAAAAGCTTGGGTACCTGTGTTATTATTCGCAATGCTTGATGTTTGCTAGACCCCTGCAGGTGCTCCTTGGACCTGAACAAAAAAACAGAGTCATGGAACACTTACCTGAATACGAAAAGAGACCCTTATTAGACCTCTGAAAAGCTCTACCTCTCTCCCCATTTAACAAGGCAGAGGCGGTACATACCAATTGATATTATTACGTAATAATTGGCATCCTTTCGCTCACACCACCACTGAGGTTTGAATTAAAAAACGTAAGGCTGTAGGTATTCTCTGAGCCTGCTGATAAGAGTTAAAGCAAGTTGCAGAGGCCTGGAACTGTCATGTTCTGCACGACTCAAATTACAGTTGTGGAGTGTGCTACACCTTCAAAGATGGTGATTAAATTATGGGGAGAACTGGGACAAGTAGGAGAGCTGATGCAATTAGAAAGTGACTGAAATAGAAACAAGACAACTGAAGAGAGCTGGAACAAATATTCTTCTTGTTGCAATATAAATGTATAGGACATCATCTTTTTACTTTTTTCTTCTCAACTCGTTTAGCTATTTCTTACTTGGTGATGACCAATCAAGACTCCATACTTGTTAAAATGGATTGTTATGGTCATCTCTAGGGGTGCACGATTCAGGAAATCTCACGATTCGATTCGATTTCTTGGGGTCACGATTCGATTCGAGATTCAAAATAGCTCAGGAGTCCGGAGAGAGTGAAGAGGATTTCCTGGTGTCATTTCCTGGTTGCTGCATAAAGTGGAAGTGCCATGATAGCGGGACATTACGGTAGGGCTGCTCGATTATGGCAAACATCATAATCTCGATTATTTGGGTCAATAATTGATATCACGATTATTAAAAACGAAAAAAATGTTGAACAGCATGTTTTTAACAGTTGATTACCCTGATAATTCAACAGAAAAACCTATAAAAAAAATTCATTAAAAAAAAAAAAATAAAAAAAAAAAATCGTTTTATTTAGATTACGTTGTTTTCCTAATCGTTGGAAGCCATCATTGTAATTGCGATTAATTGAGCAACCCTACATTACGGAGCTCACGAGTCCGCCCTGTGAGGCATGAAGAGCGGACAGAGTAAAGAGGATTTCCTGGTGTGTTTCCCTGGATGCTGCCAGTCGAAGTGCCATGTTAGCTGGACATTACGGAGCTCACGACGTAGAAAAAATGGAAACCAGCGTTGCGGCAAGACTGAAAAATATGAAACGATTCTTGGAATTTCTGAATCGATTCTGAATCGGCAGAGATAGAATCGCGATTTTTTGCGATTTTTTTGCGCACCCCTAGTCATTTCTGTTTTTTTAGTTGGTGGACAAATTTGCCAAATGGCTCCAACTTTATAAACCAGTGTTATGGACATTTGAGACCCAACACTGTGGAGAGTACAAGTCAGAGTGATCAAAAACAAATAAATGGTGAATCAGACAGAGTTGTCTTTCTGGTTATTTATTTGAAGCTTCAAATACATAAGATACAATAAAATAGACACAGGTCTCACAGAGTATAGAATAGTCTGCGTGAGTGTGCGCAGATATAAAAAAATAGCAAAGCTTATATACAAGAAAGAGTGGGAAGTTCAGAAATCTGTCTTCACACGGTCATATTGTTATTAGACACCTGTCCTTGAGCTGTAGATAGTATAACGGTTCTCACAAGGGAAGTTCTTGTGTGACTTTGTGTGAGTCTCAACCTAGTAGCCAAATCAGCTCTGTGGCCTTGAAGTGTGGCCTTGAAGTGCTTGGGAATAAACCCACAGTGGAGTATAAGAAGAAAACAGCACATCTCAGGAAATGATATAGGTGTTTTACAATGTGTTGAGAAGAATTTGGTTTAAGCATATAAGGATATAATAAAAATGTCCACTACACCAGTCACATATTATTTGTTTGATTTGTTGGAGGAATACGTCTCTGTTTTCAAGATATTGATGTGTAGTCTATATAAGTCATGCTGAGGACACAAGGACATACATTTCCACTTCTGAGCTACCAAAATAAATGTTCTCCATAAACCAAACTCCCACATCTCTTTTCTTATGAATATGGAAGACTATTGTCCATTTATGAAAGCAGAACCCACAAGTTTCACTACGCCTTGAGGAGAACTTAAATTCATTTGGCAGGAAGGTCAAAGTAATTAAATAATAAGCAGACAATGTGGTTCAGGGCAAGGAGAGAATATATGCAAACTGGACTTTGGGAAAAAGCGGTTAATTTCAATAAAAGTATTATAATACATGCCGCATATCCCGGACCCCATTACCAAAAATATGCGGTCCATTAATGAGTTTTGTTGGGGTGTAATTTGTTTTCCAACATATACAAAATAAATTCATACTTGTTATTGTACTTGTGCTTGTTTGGCTGTCTGCCCAAAAGTGGTCATTAAGAGGCAAGGCAATGTTTTAAAGAAGATTTGAGGGGATTGAAAAAATCCTCAGGGTCATAGCATTTGTTCATTGTAACCTAAGGGAAGCCATTTTAAAGTTAACAAGTATTTCGATTGGGAGCTCACAGCAGAGAAAAAACCTCAACAAGCCTAACAATAATCCAGACATGATGAGATGAAAGCATGGATAACGCTTTTTTCATTTGAGAAACTGACAAGGTTTAAGCCCTCAGCTGAATACATATGTTTTTCACAACATTGCTTACATTTATGATATTCAAGGGGGAGGATGAAAAGTAATTTTTTTGGCATGTGGGTCGGCATGTGAAGAGGCTGAATTAAAAAACCTAGTTGAGTAGAGGTTTGAGGTCATCACTGTGTGCACTGAAAACACTGAAACCTTGACTTTAATTAAATGTATTATGTTACTGTATTAGGTTAGTTAAAAGTAATAATATTAAGTTTGAATACAAATATTAGGTTCAACTTATTATTATTGCTTTCAACACAATACAGTTATGTGAAGACATAATACATTTAATTAAGGTCAACGTTTCAGTTTTTTCAGTGTGTCACAGTATGGTGGCTTTTGAGGTCATTAGACTTAGGCTGGTCAAATGTTTACATTGAGTACATTTTTTGTGCTCTTCTACTCTACTGCTATACCTTATGGATCGGGGATTTTCAATGTTTGACACCGTGGCGTCAAGTACATAATGCAACAAAGGCGCCCTTGCAAAACATGCAGGAATAGGAAGGCAAGAATGCTGCGTCATATCTTTAGTATGTTTATCTCTAGAGATATTTAGTGTGTATTCGACAGCTTTCTTACAGATAAACACAATGGTTCCATTCATCAGAGCCAGGAAGATGGATTTGCGGGTCGTTCTCTAGTTTTTTGCAACTTTGGATTTAGTCCAATCATGTGACGTTACAAGGAGCGAACAATTCCCTGTGCCACAGTAAGCACACCGATGGACATGCCTCACGTGAAGATGATAATGCAGCAGCTCAGAGTTTCATCAGTGTGGTCCAATTGCACGTATTGTTGCCTTCTGAATGACAGGCGTGAAATATACGCAGTCAATATTTCAACACTGCATGTATAAAAGACAGACGTATAGCAGTCATACTCAGCCCTTAGAAAATGGTCCTGTATGTGGACAACAGTGCCCACATACTTTAAAGCCTTAAGGTGTATTTCTGTGTCGATAACAGCTTATTCTGTCTGCAGGTTTGCTTTTTTGTATTAGCTCATTCAGACACAGCACAGAGGACCCTTGAGACTCGCCATCTCTCTCACTCTGTCAGACATACAAACACAACAGAGAGGAGAAAGAAAAACAGAGAAAATGGAGACAGAGCGACGAAAAAGAGGTTAGAGATGGAGAGTGCGAAGTGTCAAAGGGAGTCCAAGGCAGGGAGAGCACATTGTTCCTGTCCAACACATTCAGCGCTCACCTCCAGCTGACGCTCCCTGCAGCGTGGGCCTTTCACAACTTATCACACTCTTAGAAATGACTCCCCAACGCCAGGAATTGACTGCCAAATCGAATAATTACTTTGCAGACTTTGGTGGCTATTGTATTATTGGAGCCTATTCACACTCAGAGTCTCCAGTGACTGTGACCCCAAGTCAAAATTGTCAATTTAATCATAATTAATAATGGCACTGCTGCAGCGTTTCAATCCTGCGAGTCAAAGTCATTAAAATGGCTCCAAGAACTCCTGGACTTTATCGTCTGCAGGAAGTAATCAAGTTTGGATAGGCCTCAGTAATTCATTAATATAGCACCTCCAGAAAATGAAAAGGAGGGAAGGGTGACTTTGTCCACAGGAAATTTGTTTCTTCAGACATTCTAGGACAAATCCTTTTGTTTGATAATCAGGCACGGTGAAAAGGGGCAAAAACAGTTATGATGTTAATTAATTCCACATATTTATTTATAATTCCAATAGTCTATTCTTTCTTTGTGGAATTGGTTTAAATTCTGGAGATTTACTAAGGTGTTATTTTTTAATTGAATAAAGTCATGGTGGACGACAATTTAATATGCAGAAAGAAGTCCAATCATTTTACAGCAACAAAAAAAAAACCCACTTATTTTCTTTCTTCAGAAAACACCATCATGGCATTATAATTTATATATTTGTGGAAAGAAGAAAAGTATAGATTTCTGATGGTTTAAGTGTCCACAGTAAAGAAAAGAAAAAGGGAACAAAAACAAGAATAAAGTACAAGAGAAGGAAAGAGAATGACGGACACGGAGAGCTAGCCGACCGATCATTCAGCTTGGCGTTGGGTTCCACCTCAACCTGTCGGGGTTCTTCTTGCTATAATGACCGTCTCACTGCAGAGTTTCCCTTACTTCATTGTGAGTTTCTTCGTGGAGATGTGTGCTTACCTTGAAAGCTCCCGACTGACAGGTAAAGCCAGGTGAGTGCTGGGATGAAGAACAAGGCAAGAGAAGCCGCCAGGAACTTCCTGCGCCCACGACACATTCCCAGCATCCTCTAGACCAAAGCAAATGGAAAGAGAGGTGAAGTGACCTCTATGTGGGGAGCAGCTGTTGTCCAGGCTGATTCATGGCACTGGGGAAAGAAGAGAGAAGGAAAAAAACATTCATTTGACATTCTGTACAAACAGAACTACAGCTGAGCACATGACTTCTGCTGTATCCAAAAGAAAATACATCAGAACCTCTTGTGCAAACAATCACATTTAAAATGTTTTATCTATGATTATTTGTATCATTAACTATTATTCATTCTCGGTCTGAAATGGAACAAATAAAAAATAAATAATGTGTATTTAATGGAAACATTTTACAATTTACAGAATACGGAAAAGGCGTTTTCAACCATCTAATTGTTTGTATTTCACCAATTTTGAAATGGTAGGTCTGGAACACATAACGATTGGGGCACCATATTTGGTTGGGTTGCATCATAATGACAATGTACAAACACAGACCAAGCTATGTAGTTGGCATACAAACCAGTATCTTATCTCAAGTTCCAAAGAATGTCTTGACACCAGTTTGCTACTTATAATGAAAATACCCAGGGACTAGTTTGAAAAATGAGTTATGCAGGTATCACATCATTGGAGCGAGGAATTCATTAACATAATGTAATTTTACTCGCAAGGGACTAACAATGTCTTTATAAAAGCATTCCATTTTGGTTTACACGGGTCATTGTGTTTCTTTCTGTATTAACTTCACCAATTGTGGATCTGCACCTTTAAAGGTTTGGGTTGAAATTAGATAACCACTGGTACATCTAATTAGACAAGACAAATTAGGGATAGACATCGCCAAATGGTGGATCCATTCATATATAATTTAAACTAGACACTGAAACATATACAACCGCAAGCCCGAAGAAGTTCAACCCTTGTTTCGTCTTGCTGCCTCCCTGAAGGCTCCCACAGGATTGTAGCTGACATCTTCGTAGATTCATCTTCTTATTATAGACACATGCATTTCCTAACATTTGGACTACTTATGCTGTAAAATGTATTATCTCTTCGATTTGCACACGGCATCTATTGCACGTCTGTCCGTCCTGGGAGAGGGATCCCTCCTCTGTTGCTCTCCCTGAGGTTTCTCCCATTTTTTCCCTCTAAACTGTGGGTTTTTCTCCGGAAGTTTTTCCTTGTACGATGTGAGGGTCTAAGGATAGAGGGTGTCGTTTTTCTCATACTGATATTCTGAACAATCTGTGCTGTTGTATTTGCTGTAAAGTGTCTCTACTGTAGGCTATTTTTATTATATGTACAGCACTTTGGCTCGACCAAAAATAGTTTATAAATGTGCTATAAATAAAACTTGATTTGATTTGTTTAAATAGATTCACGTTGCTTGAAAAGTTACATACTAATCTGACTTTGATTACCTAGACTAATGTGTCAATCCTAGTGTGATACAGGGCAGAGAGTATAGAGGTCTCATTATATGATATTAGTCGAAATCCTCTTTCCGTTACAACCACATTTGTCCAATTACCCTGTTGACCTCAGTCGATTTCTAATCTTCACCAGAGACTGCCAAGGGATGAAACTGAATACCTCTGTGCGACACTTTGGAGGGTGGCATAAACACAAGACAGGATGCCAATTACCACCAAGTAGAATGCAGTATAATGTATTTCCAGCACTCTTCCCAGCACTCTTCCTGAATCTCTCTTACTGAATCTCCAGTGATATTGTGGCCTGGGCAATGAGAAGAGCTCAGAGTGAGACAGGGTTAAGTGAGGCTAAAGAAGATTAAACAAGTCTCTCAAGTACGACAACCACTGGTTTGATAGCCGGACTATGAATAATTTCAGAGCTCCTTAGCCTTTGACCTCCGTTTGATATGAGCTCTCCACTGGATGCTGTGATTTACATTGCAAATGCTACACTAAAGCCATTTATTAGCATGTGAGGTGTCATGCCATTGTGTACACTAAGTAGATCCAGTCATACAGGGATTAAGAGAGAGAGAAAGCATTATGTAGCAAAAAGGAGCTCAGACTGAGGAGCAGCAGCCGACTGAAGGAAACGTTTGTCATCAGCTATTAGAGTCTTTGCTAAAAATGTGGCACAGCTTCAACAGTTGTGACAGCTTTAAAACAGCAGCACCAAGACAGACAACGAGACAACTGTACAGTAGGACTATTTGCATGAATCAGAATACCTTTATTAGTCCCACAGAGGGGACATTTGCAGCGTTACAGCAGGAAAGAGCCACAGACAGCTTAGTGTTGCATATCTTACATGCGTTAAAAAAGTACTAAGTTATAATATAATAAACAATATGCTAAAAAAAAAAAAAAAAAAAAATGAAGTACATCAGGACAAATCTGAAAGCTGCTATACCTGAGACCTTGGTTTTGGTCTTTTTTGCTAAGGTAAGTTCCAAAAGAAGTTGAAGCAATGATAAGACCTGATTTAATTATCTATTTTTTAAACGCTTCCTTTGTTATCTTTATAAGCATAGGAAAACACTGGACCATCCTTTATGAAAGGGAAGGAGACTATGCTTCCACAGACAACTTGCGGGCTGCAACATTCAAAGTGACAAAGCACTTCACGGAAACAACCAAAGTAAGTGCAGTTAGATTCTCTTAGCACCCAGTTGACTTTTTCTCAGTCCTGATGTGTCTCTTTCACATCTTCCCCTAACCCCATGAAATGTTTCAATGAGGTTGAAGGAAAGTGGTTAGGAAAAGACAAAGGACTCGATATGATTTACTTTTTGCAGCCCTGGGGGATATTATAAATGAAAAAGTAAGGGTGGTCTTCACAGTCAGTCAGCCCAGAGGCCTCTTAAGGTGCGTCTGATGGCAGCTTCTAATCTTATTACCAGGTTTGACAGATTGAGAGGCCCATTTTTTGGTATTAGGTATGAGTTTAAAAAAGTAAATTCTGGTTTATTTCTGATAGAAGATAGTAGATAATTATTGTAGTGTGGGATTAGTGTTACAACTCCAGATGAGAATTAGATTTAGGACGTTATTGCACAATGTTATTATATGTTGCGGTTTATTAAATCGGCTTATGTACGCTTAGTGTTGTAGACATGCCACAAACTGTTTAATGAATGAAAGACCATTTACTTTACTTGCTTTATATAAAAGCCCCAATCCTTCCTTAAAGTCACAAACATTTACAATCTGTGACTGAATTTAGCTTCACATGACATCCAATATTTTCTAATCTTGCCCAGTACTAAAACGAATGTGATAATCGTAGCCTGGCTTCAGATGTATTGTCATTGCTAGAGATGTCAATGGTGAGACTTCCCTTGTGGACAAACAATAAGTTAATATAAAATTGAATTTTATATCCACAGCACAGCTCAATAGCAAATTGCTGTGTGTTGACACTAAAAGTGATGAGCGATGATTATTGGAGCAGCGGGTTATTGGTAGAAAAAGGCCATAGGGAAACGTGCTGAGAGAGTCTGATTGGATTTCACTGTGTTAAGGAAGCCGCTTCACTGGAGCTAGGAAATGCTCAGATGCTATATTTACAGAGGTTAGAAATATAACTGGCTCTGACAGGCGATTTTATTTCATCTGCAGACTCTTTTTTCATAAAACACTTCAAAAAGAGATTTGGACAAAGGTACCTAACATCAAGATGAATCAAATACACAGTGTTTTCGACACTTCAAAAATCCACAGTCCTTTATCTGCTACTTTTCTTTATGGAAACATATAAATACCAAGCATGCTAAATGTTCAGTATGTACAGGAAGAAATACAATTGTTTCATCAATTTATCTGCACATTGAGTTTTGGTTTTATGTGTCAAGGTTTTGCTTTACTTGTCCTTTTAGGGTTCTGTCCCTTTACCGAAAACAATATAGAACAATACAATGTCCATTCTGGGGTTTACAAGACTTGATGTAAGACAACTGTTCACAGTCCGTCAAATGAAGGTAGACTCATAACTTTGCAAGGACTTGGGTATAACGTGAACAAAGCATTAGACTGTCATTGGGGATCACTGTTCTTTTCTCATCAGCAGTCAAGTTGATTAATGTTATTCATGACCACAATTGCCAACTAACACTATATAAGTGGATATCTTAAACCAAACCACTTGTTTTCCATTAGTAGTTTCAGTTTGTTCAACCATTTTCAAGAATCGTATACGTACTCTAATAAAGATATTAACCACGACGTTCTGCCTTTTTGTAATGGGCAAAGTCTGTTCTTTGTCTTCTTTGTCATTTCTGATCTCTGCCAGTCCCTCCATACACAACTCTGATATGTCCAAACCAGATGAATACCGTTCTACCCATAATCCTCAAATCAATCAGTCCCTGGATGCTGATCTGTAAATATCATAGCATGCATACTCTTTCTATCAGACCTACTTTTGCACAAACCGCCAACGTGACCTCCATAATATCCATGGACATACACCTGAGGGTTTGAATGAACCATCTGTCAGTCTCAGTCCTAGTCCTAGTCCTAGTCCTAGTCCTCCTCCTCCTCCTCCTCCTCCTCCTCCTCCTCCTCCTCCTCCTCCTCCTCCTCCTCCTCCTCCTCCTCCTCCTCCTCCTCCTCCTCCTCCTCCTCCTCCTCCTCCTCCTCCTCCTCCTCCTCCTCCTCCTCCTCCTCCTCCTCCTCCTCCTCCTCCTCCTCCTCCTCCTCCTCCTCCTCCTCCTCCTCCTCCTCCTCCTCCTCCTCCTCCTCCTCCTCCTCCTCCTCCTCCTCCTCCTCCTCCTCCTCTAGCCTAATGCTAATGAATACGATAAAGAAGCTGAAAATTATAAAAAGCTTAAGACAATCAATGATTGTTATTGGCCTAACAAATAGCAGACATTCCGGTTCTTTCTCTAGAAGTACAATGGTGTACAACAGAGACCAATGTCTGCAATGATTGTTTGTTCAGGGTCTTGGTTGTTTGACTAGAATGACTGATCAGATTTTTTACATCCAACATAACTTGCAGTATAGTGAAAGGCCTGCAACAGAGGTCCTTAGACGGACTTGCACCATTTACATTCAAAGTTGATCTTCGGCACTGTAAACCCCTCGGCAATCAGTTCGTCCATAAACAAACTTGACAGCTACGATCTAAATGAGCAGAC